TTCATCATTTCACTTCAGATCAAACTGTCGCTCAGGTGATGCACGTTTAGATTTTGGCACATCTTTTGGACCATATGGGAGCAGAGAGGGTGCATGAATGAGCTGCTGTGATGATGTAGCACTGTAAACATCTTCAGTGCTCTCAGAGAGGGTCTTAATCCCCTGCACCATCCAGCATATAGACCCCAGGCCACCTCCAAGCTAGCTGTCCGTCCCTCCAAAGTCACCTGCCCAGATAAATAAATGTTACCCATGAATTAGGGGATATAAAATCCGTAACAGCCAGGAGAACCGAGTTAATTTGCCGGCACCTGACAAGGGCCGCTTCCAGGAGACTCTCCCATCTATTTCACTTTCTCAAAATAACAGGAACATGCAGAACCACGGTACGAACACTCCTGTGTCATGGCTTCTCCTGGACCTCTTATCTGCCTGCCCATCCCTGCCCTCATGTAAGTCAGTGTTGTGAAAAGCAAATAAAAAAAACCCCATTACCGCCAGGAATACAGGGCTCTAAATGAGTTTCATATCTAAAGTAAAGGCATTAAACCAGGTAGGATTTAAAACTCATTTGCTGTTTCGGTACATTCACATTTCAGTAACTCATGTAGCAAATTGGAAGGTTGTGCCCTAATTCCCATCCACTGCTTTACATACGAGGGCATAAACCAGCGGAAATCTGAAGCTGCGTTTCCTTAACTCAGGGGAGAACACGGACATATTTACCCCTATCACTAAAACAATGAGACCAGTTAACATTCAGGTATAATGACCGAAGAAATGGACAACTCCTTTCACTTGACTGAAACCATATACCTACAGCGGGGTGTGCTGCAGCTGGGAACCAGAACCGCAGCCGACGTGGCTTGAATATAATAGCGCCCGGGTCTGGGCAGCCGTGGGGCTTGCAAAACCAAACCTGCTCTCCATATTCTCCAGGGATGTGTAAACAAAAACACATGACTACCAGCCTCATCTGAAATACCTCATTAAACAAGGTAACACTTTTTCAGTCTTCTGAAAATACACACAAAAATGCCAGAATGATGAAAGAAGAGATGGAGTTTCTTGCAGTTATTTAAACCTTGAGACACTAAACATATTTCCAGTCAAAAAACTTCTCTTCTGAACCGGACAGCTTATCTTGTTATAGTTTAAAATGAGGCTCTTTTAAGTCTCTTAAAAAACCCCTTGAAATAGGAAGAGGCTGTTTGTGGCTTTAGTTTAAAACCACAATATATTAGCAAAAATATACAGTGAACCAAGCACAGCATTAAAATGGCAAGTGCTGAACAGTGGCTGGCAAAAGCACAGCAAAGGTATTATGTATGGCCAAAGGCCCTGCATTACGCTCTCGCTCCACATTACATTCAGCTGTTGGCTGGGGATTTTTAAAGAGTGGTCCACCTAAAATACAACAGAGTTTCAAACTTTTTACCCTTGGTGGATGATAGTTTTGGCGCTTTTTCTTCAAGGACACTTGTATTATTTGCTATTGCGATACTCTGCCGCAACAAAAAGGAGTGCGTGCTCTCACTTACAGCAGTTGCGCTGGTTCTGGATGCAATTTCTGCCAATATTCCCGATTTCCCCGTCTTTGTGGTTTTGACTGAATTCTTTATTGTTCCAAGAACACAGATTTGTGGCTTCATTTAACAAGCATTGTTAAATTACAGTTTGTGAAAAAAATTATGTAAGCATTTAACACTTACTTTAATTCTTTCTTAACCTCTTCATAATCAGCCTGTCCTTTCAGTTTTTCTTCCAGTTGCTTTAAAAGAAAGAACATGGATTTAATTATTTAGATTATTTTTCTGCAGGCTTTCAAAATCATCTTTAAATTATTCCATATATACAGCAGTGCACAAGTGAGGGTTAATGACTCATACCTAATTTACATATATTAGAAAACAAACTATAACCAATTCAACGTAAACACAATTATACCTCGCTCTTCCTTTGTTTACAGAGTGCCAAGCATCACAGAATTCAGTAGGTCCCAATTTGGCTGTTTGCAATGTCACTGTCACGTGTTCAGTAAAGAGACTGGGGAAGAAGGTACTGAAAATGGGGCAGCTGAAATTTTTTACAAAACTAGTAAATTGAGTAAACAAGCAGGATGCTTTGGCACATACTGTATTTTATTATGGCAGTTCTTGAGAACCTTATCCACATGAAAAAAAAAAAGACTGAAGAAGCTGTTGTTGACTGGAATGCCTTAGGCTTCTAAGACTTCTACAATGCCTCATGCCCAAACAAAACAGCTGTACCGAGTCGTTTTACAAGCATTACTGATTGCAATAACTAACATGATTACACACCGGAGATGAAGCATTGAGACCAACTCAGCAGGTCTTTTTGCTCAGGTCTACCTGACCTGGGGCAGTCTCAATGGCTTCTCTTCGGTGTGAAGATGCCACAAACGTTGAAACAAACCTCCTAACAATCCATAATGCAATGCCACACATTTTGACCTTACCCAAGAGCCCCTGCTCCCAACAACAGTGCTCAGCACTACAGGATAAATGCTTCAGGAGGCCTAAAACATAGTGATACATAATTGATGTCGTTATGATGTTTGCAGAAGCCACATTCATTTCCCACTAATAATTTCTTTGCTTAGTACAGGCACACCTGATCTAAGCAAAGAACAGAACTTACTGGCCTGCAACTTCCATGGATAAGTTCAGGTTAGCTTCACTTAATTTTTGGCATTAAAACTAGTACAGAATCCCAAAGGTCACAGGAAACAGAAATAACACAAGGACGTACCACCCTCAAAGACAGAGCGTCTACTTTGAAAAGCAAAGGAATATATGACATGAAAAAGAAAAATAGGGCTTTATGTCCAGGAGAGACTGCCTTCAGTGGAGAAATGAATTCAAGATCCTACACCCACTCCTGGGCTGCTCGTTGAATGCAGGAGGACAGCAGGGAAGGGCTACCGTGAACTTGGATAACTTTAGCAAACCCATTTAAAATGCAGCCCCATAGAGTTGTGCACCAGCAGAGTTATGGGTGCATGAACGGCAGGGCTGGGGCAGACGAACGATTAGAAGTGGGAACCTCGTAACCATGTTGTCTTCCCCAGTAAGCCGGTGTGTAGGTGTCACCCATCTCAAAGCTATCCAATGGGTACCAGCAGCAAACCCAACCACTATGTAACACAGCACCCACAGAGCGAGTCCATCATCTGAACCATCTTAATAATTTCAATGAGGCTTCTTGAGATGATGGTAGCAGCACGATGGGGCTTTGTTGGACTTCCAGATATTTTGCCATCTTTCAAAGGATTTCCTATCATGCCCTTTCCAGCTTACGCACTGCTGACATCTCTGCCTTGCCATTAGTCCGTATATTAAAAAGCAGTGACAAAGTGGACATCCATGTTATCAATATTCAGCCCTCTGAAATTCCCGTTCCTGCTTTTTGATACCATAATCCACAATCCTTAGTCACTGCTGACAAGAGGCATCTCCCAGCAGTTAATACACGGGCCCTGCTCTGGCAGCTGCTCAACAAGCAACTCCCGATGGGTCACCACCACCGGCTGTTGCAGGAAAGCTGGGACTATTGTTAAGTGTGGAATTTGCACTCTATGGGACACCGATGAAATGAGTGGCCTCGTAAAAGGTGGCGTGTCCTAGTGTCCTTAGCCATCAGTATCTTCTGCAGTCATTTGGATTGTGTTAAAAAGGAAAAGATTGAAAAATTGTCTATTTGAGCTAAAATAATTTTTACCTGGAAAAATACAGGGCAAGTTTTAGTCATTTCTTCTGACACGTCCTGCTTTACCAAATTCCAGTTACTAACTGGAATTACAAGGAGAACTGACTTTGATTTATAGAGCAGACACAGTGCTACAGGTGGTTTGGCCTGGCTAAAAAACCCTATACTGGTGTAACTAGGAAAATCCTGGTTGATGTGACCAGGCAAATGCTACAAATATTAAAGATGTTTGAGGTTTTGAGAACCTCCAGCATGTGTTGAAATCTCATTATACAAATGTACTATGTAATCCCAGGGCCCAAGATGTCACTTCAGTTCTCCACGGTTTAAGGAGGGTCAGCTACAACATGCCACAAGTTCAAGCAGCTTTTCTAGCTACACCGAGCAAAATGCAGTTACTATAACAAGGAATCCAGCCAGACTTTTTAATGCACCAGATCAGGATCAGTAAGACTGGAGAGGGATCTTTAAATCAAACCAGTGAGCCAGAGAGCCCTCGGTACTGGGGAGGAGACTCAGCCTCACGACTGACAGGAGAACTCAACGGGAGGACCCTGCTAAACCACGCGGCGTCTTTCAGCTCTCCTTGGCCGTGTCACTCTGCCGACCACTTCTAACTGCTTTTTGCTTCTCTACATCTTAAAGCAAAGATACACTACAATTTGGTGGGCTTGGCAGTGCTAGGTTAATGGTTGGACTTGATGATCTTTAAGGTCTTTTCCAACCAAAACGATCTTATGGTTCTACGATTCATCTCATCCTTAAGTATGACTCGTAACATTTTTGGATCTACAAGCAGATTAGCTTTTACAGTAGGGATAACTGGCTATTTACATGAGTCCTCAGTATAAAAAGTACTGGAATAAATTTAAAACAAACAATATCCTGGATCAACATGTTAGTCACTTATGCAAGGATAGGCTAAGAAAAAAAGCCTTTTGTAGAAACAGATATAAAATACAGAAAAGCTTTAAATTATTCCCATTTTAAACCAACCTATATTAAACGTAATTCTGTACAAGGATATGCTCTACCCTGAAAGTATTTCTGGAAATTTTAGATTAAAAAAAAAAAAAAAAAAAAGAGAAAAAAAAGAGATGTTGACAGAATGAAGCTGTTTTGGACTCTCAGGTACTTGTATGCTGTTATAGCAGTATGGCAACCAGCAATATTTTACTCTGAATTGTATAAAAACCACATACATCCATCATTCCCAAGTACCGAATATAGAGATTGTTGCCATGGAAAATCTGCACCTAAATGTATACTTTACTAAACAATATAAACTAACAACTGAGAATGCAATGCCTGTATATAAGCAGGCCATTTAGGCACTTGGCATCTTCCCAGTCAATGACTGTTTTAAAATGTATTAGTATGGTAATTGTCTCAAAGAACCCTGTAAAACGCACAGAACATGGTATAACAAAGGTTCAAGCTGTGAGACAATGTGGAGGAACTAATATCTTGCACTAAATATCAACCTGGTTAATTCAGACAAAATATATTCTAAGGTGCTCCAACACACAAAGATGCAGAGAGCCAGAGGACAGAAGGAATGGCCTGGTGGCATTTCTGCACATTAAATTTGTAAATATTCTATGTTAAGGAATCCTCTTGCATTTGGTATACGAATGAACCCATGTTAGAGCATGCATAGGTCGAGTCCCTTCTTATGTTATTTTAAAAAAAACAAAACAAAATATTACTGTATTATTAACTAAAGTGTCTTAGGTAAAACAGCATGGGCTGTATTAAGGGCCTTAAAACATCTTAAAAACCCCATTAGCTTAATGTCGTAGTTTAGTTTAGTTTAGAGTGATAAACTAAAAAGACCGTATTTAATTAACCCAGGTTATTTGATGTATCTCGCTGCTAAGTAGCACTGTTGTATTTTAACTGGGTAGCAGGGAAGCTCTACGTCCCAGCAACAAAGGGTTAATATAATTATAGTTAGAAAAGTCTTGTTACTAGAGGACATGTTTTGATTATTAGATCAGATGAAGATAAAGAAGCAATAATTTTGAAAGTATTTTTGTGTTGTTTCATTAAGTCATGGAGTATTAAAGAATTCCCCCAAGATAAGGTCTGAGAACATTCCTTTAATTTGTGAAACTGCGATTCATTTTTTGTGGAGGCAACCGCTACAATCTCTGTTATTTTAGAAGCAATTCCTCTATAATCAAACATGGGATCAACATATCGCCGATGAGATTTGGTTCTTTGTACAACAGATCTCAGACAGGTTTTCCCAGCACTTTGGGGTAAAAGTATGTATTTTGAAATATTTTTATAGTGCAACAAATAAGGTTAAAGAGGGTTGAAATGACTAAAACTTTATCAATAAAGTCACTGCATCAGACAGTATCAACAGGAACCTAAATACAGAGCATTAGCCGGGCAAGCCTGTAAGAAAATGGAAGGAGATTACTGAAATGAAAATCAAAGACTTGCTCTGTCATTTCTATGATCCTATTCCCTTTGAAGTTAATGGCTAAACTAATACTGACCTCAACAGGAACATGCTTTATTCCAAGAAAATCTGTCAAGTGCAAGGACTCAGGATATTTTTTGTATCAGGCTTTATGAAGAAATAAAAAAACCCCTGCAACATGGGAGTAGGCAGCAAAATGTGTCCCTCACAAAACCAGGCCAGCTCCTTCCTCCCTCATATTAGGAGTGGTGCCCATGTGGTGACAGATGGGCAGAGACCGACACCGTCAATATAGGAACCCAATAGATTTCCTTTGCTCTACTGAATTTTCATAAAAATTGCCTGTCTTAAAACATGCCGGAAGCATACTGAATGCAACACTTCGGCTTTCATCCCTAACAGGTATTTGTCCACATAAATTATGCTACCTCAGAACAAAACTAGTAACCGCTAAAAAATGTCAGAATTAGAACAATTTGTAAGAGTTTCAACTGAACATTAAATCATTCTGATAGAGGAAAGCTACGCACGCCGCAGTCAGAGCTAAGTGGGTACTATCAGCCTCCTGCTTTCAAAAAACTCTCAGACTATAAAACCTGCAAAACTATGAAGTCTTTAATGGAATAGATAAATTTATCTTGTTTACACTTTGAAGCTCATAGATGGTAGAACAATGAAAGAGACAGGAGTTACAGGAAACTGATTCATAACCCATGTCAGGAAACATCTCTCATGCTTACTGATAGATCAAAATTGTGTGGGCTAGCGCACAAAGAAAGTAAAGCTGCTGAAGCAAAAGGTAAAAGGGTCACTCACAAAATTGTTAGATGTTTCTTCTGGTTTTAGTGCAGTGCTACTGATATGCAAGTGAGTATAGGACTGGACTGCTAATTATAAATGGGAATTACTGCGCAGCAAATAATACAGTTTGAAAAAATAATTAAATGGTTATTAAGGCTAGAAAGCCTTCTGTGTCTCCATTTTACTTGGTTTTATGCTCTGAATGATACACTTCCCTCTTCCAGTAGAGAGTGCTGCAGGGGTAGCAGGTACATTCAAAGATAGACCATAGCACAATAAACATTCCTGGCAAATCTGCAATACCAATCACTGGCATGGGAATTAGAAGTTCTAAAACCTAAAAAGGATTGTCTGTGCCTTTTCAGTCCAGCTATTTCACTACATATCCATGGTAAATATACACTGGGTTTTGTTGGTGGTTTTAATTCTTAAGGTAGCCGTGTTCTGCAAAACCAAATTTTAAAACAATGAGAACTAGGTAAATTACATTTCAACAAAATTGTGATTACTTAGAATAAAACACCACAGAAACTGGAATTAAACCGCATACTGAAGAAGCCAATAGTTTTTACAGCGCCTCTCCGAACCACAGAAGACTTACATCAATAAAACCCAATATTGGTACGTCAGTTATATCCTTGGAAAGCTGCTGAGCACAGAACCGAGCCTTACTTTCAGTGTGCTGTTCTTGGCGGTCAACTGCTGCTCCAGCTGTGAGATTTGGCTGCTGGAGTTCTCCCGCAGCTTGGTGAGGCTGCCCTGGAGTCTCTGGACATCTTCTACGAGCTGGGCGATTTCCCGCTCCTTCGCAGCCAGTTCTACTTCCAAGCTGGATCGTGTTAGCACCTCGATGGCCTGCTCCTAATGCAAAAAAAAAAAAAAATGTTAGACCACATAAATAAATGTGATTGACTGCATGAATCTGGAAGATGAACCTTTCTACTCCCCAGGACAGCTCTTTGGTAAAATAGGGATCATGGAGAGAATAAATTTCCCTGTTTCATTAAGTGTACTGGAAAGACGCAGCCGTGAAAGTCAAGGGATTCTATTTAGATCTATTTATTATTAATAGTCCAAATGCTTTGACAACTATGAAAATCTGTGCTTACAAAATACTAATCAGATAAAATATTCTGAAGTAATGGAGCAGAATTTCTTAAACAAGAACGGCAGAGTCATGTGCCTTTGGCTCTTCGTATGTGTGCCACACGTTCCAGGCAAAATTGTCAAAAATTGCCCCAAAGTGCTACTTCCAATGCACTTGCTCCTTGCATGAAAATCGTTCACTGTTAACGTTACTGCTAGCAACTAAAGCCTCTCGTCCATGGGGACAAAGAGAGATGTGACAGCTGTTAAGACAAGGCCTTTCTCCCTATGGTCTTCCACTTTCAGAAATTCCCTTTCCTACATCAGGATCTTTCTTCCTCCAGTTTTCCACAGCTGTGAAGTCTGTCCTCAAGCCAGAAAATTCCTCACTAGACCGACTTTCCAGTACGACAAGAAGTAAGAGAGGACAGAGAAGTTAAGACGAAGGTAGGGTCTATTCAGAAAAGATAACACAGACGAATTGTACCATGTCTTTTGTCTCCTCCTGTGTTAAGAGATCAACAGCTATAATGCATCGGAGAGCTCTGAACCTCTAACATAAGGAAATCCTTGTGCAGATGCAGGGAGCACGAGGCAGCCCAATGATGAACGCACGTTCCATTAAAAAGCCTAAAACGCGTCGTACAAAGGTTAATGGCTGTTCCTCAGAAAACACCAGTGAAGTTGGAAAGAATCCATTTATCAAGAGAGACACAATGATCGTAAGCATTATACCAAAGATCCTACGGCAAAAGAGCTGAAAATTCAACCCACCCATGCTGTCACCCAAGCACTTTCCTTACAATTCAAGATGACATTGCAGCACATTGAAATATACTCTGTACCCTCTTTTCTGGAAAATACAGGCACAACAAAATACCTTTTCCATATCTTCTAAGCACTTAGCTTGATTCTCAGTGACTACATACCATTGTATCTCATAGAAAGCTACAAGCACGAACAGCAGTTAACAACGCTCTCCTATTACACTGAATTATACTTTTAACTTGAAAAAACCTCTAATTTGCTTGCATGAAACATCACAAGTTGTATAATCATCTGCTGCTTGTGCCTATTGAGACTAGAACGTAGAGTCTGAAATAAGATAGATAATGATCATTTTCATCCTGCAGTAGTTGTCATATTAAATATAAATGAAGTGCAGAAGTACTATTAAATACAAGAAAGACCTAATGTTAAAATAATGATAAGACTAGGACACGAGATAGGAAGAGGCAGGTAATTCAGAGTTACAAGTGATATTCAGGCTTTTTATTTATTTATTTATTTTTTGTTTTGCAGCCTGCTTGTCTATCTTCTGACTTCTCTGAGAAAATACTGCGTCGTATTAATAGACGACCAAACAGATCTGGAGGGCTTACGGTTTGTTACTCATTCTCTGCGAATGTATTTTAAAGACAACCATGTGTTTCTCTGATATCGGTGTCAAGCGTGTATATGGCTTGCAAGAAAAAAAGCAATATAAGGAGCGTGATTTCTTTTGTTTGTTAAGTCTGCTGCTGAGAAGTAGACTAAATTTCACTTAATTGCATATTTACATTTAAATACTCCTATTTCTCCTTTGGCAAACAAAAATCAAAATAATCTGCCTGCTCATCTGTGATACCTGTTAACCCAGGACCAGCTGGAGTCCTGTAATAGCACTCTGTGCCCGCAAGGTCCGATCAGCAGAGTCAGCGCTACCAACCTCCCCAAACAGCCGTGTTTCCTTTCTTTAGAAACACACAGAGAAGGCAACAACCGGCCAAACCTTTAGCAGTACAGGATATCTTCTCAATTTTCTAAGCTTCTTCTATTGGATTTGTAGGTGGAATTCTCAGTTTAGATATATTCAGTGAAAACTGGAACGACACTGAATTTACTTCTAGTTCCTCTGACAGCCCACAGACTAAGAATAACAAGACCCAGAAACGGGCAGGCAGCGGCAACCAACTCTGAGCAAAGCTGGTCCCCTCCGTCTGAAGCTCCGCGGCTCTGCCGTGCCCTCCAGGCAGGCACGTGCTGATGGCCCACCGAGGCACTCTTTGTTATACCGTATTGCTGCCTTTATTTTTCCTCTGCTGACGGCTCCTACCAACATGAAATCATTTCTGAGAGCCTGCTGCTATCGGCCTGGACCAGCGGCCGTGGAGGGCTATGGATCACCGTACCGGTCACCAGGGAGCAGAGTGACCTCTGTCCTCCCCGTGGTCTCCTGCAGCCACCAACCCACTGAGAAGTTTAACCAAACCGCCGTCCCAAAGGAACGCAATTCCATTTCAGTTAAAATACAACTCCGAACAGATATTTTTATAGCTGCGAGCATAAATTGAAAGAGCTGTACTGCAGGAATGTCAGAAACCTGTAAGAGTCAGTAAATATTTTCTCTCACCACATCAGGTGCCTTCTGGATCTGCGTAGCAAGTTGGAGAGATTTGTTAGCTGACGAGAGCTGCTCCCTTAAGGTCTCTGCCTCTCTCTGAGCCACCTCTGCCCTCTGAAGGAAATGAAAAGGGGTGAAAAGAGAAAGTACATTCAGTTTAACAACTGACAATTATTACAAGAACATTCATCAATTCATGCCTGACTGAATATAATTGATTTTCCTAAACACTCAACCTAATAAATGTTAGAAAAAAACATAGAATGTGATGGATTTTTATTTTAAACAGTACAAGGAAGAAATAATTGAGCGATTATGACAGTAATTTAACGCTAGGAGCAAGGAATCCCCTGCTGATACTAATGCTGCGGCCCACTGAATTTCCCAGACTGAATAAATACAAGTGGAAATGGAGTCTTTTTATTCAATTTCTTTCTATTCTCATAGACCAAGCAGATTTTATTGCAAGGTTCCTCATGGGAATAATTCTCACGGGTAAATGCTGAATTAAAAGATATTCTGACCATTCTTTCTAACACACATACAATGTTGTGGGCTGTCTTTTCTTCAGTAATTATTTCCCAAAACATAAATTGTTAGATTCTGTTCTTTCAGCAGGTCTATTTATTCAACAATATTTAACCCTAAACTGACAATTTTGCACAGATCAGTTACCGACTGCTGAGGATTTACGCAATATCTGATAAGCCTGTGACTTGGCTACCAGACAAAATTCCCACACAAATATTGAATAATAAGAGAAAGGAGAAAAGCAGAATTATGAGGAAAGATTGTCTCCTCAAGAGTTAGGGTAGAGACAGATGGATCAGTAACTTCAGGCAATAAATAGCAGCAAAGTCCTTTCCATAATTGTGTATAAGCTTCTGTTAAGAAAAACGGAACAAAACCTGGTTGTTTTTACAGTATATACTCCTCCTGGCCAGACTTTCCTCTCTCTCTTTAAAAAAAAAAAAAAAAAGTATTTTATTGTTATAAACCCACACTGCTTACCTCCTTGAGTAATCAATACTTCACCTGGGCTGCTCCATGCAAATCACACTGCACTTTCAGCAGAAAACAGCTAAAATAATTTTCTATCTCTGCTTCCAAGACATATCACCAACTCTTCCAAATCCACAAACTGCCACCAATCAAGGCCAAAACTTTTCTTGACCAACCTTCACCCTTTACACAGACGGGTCCCTTTATTAAATAATAAATTCATTTTAAGCCACCCAAACTGCTGTATTTCTGTGTGCCAGACTCTCCACTTTTTCGGCTAATCCTTTTGAAAACCTAAGTCATCTAAAATAGCGAATATAAACCCCATATCCCTGCGTGTGTGCATGGTCTTTGAGTCACCAGTCAAAGCTGAGGCTCTGTCTGCATGTTTAATCAATCAGTAAACTAACGGCAATCAAATACTAAATGCGTCAGCTGCGCTATTTGCTCACAACATTATATTAAATGATTTTGCATAGGTTCTGCAGCTGTAATTAAAATGTAATTGTAAAAAGTACAGTAACATGGTTCTAATAATCAGAGCATGGGACACAACCTATTGTGCGCATGACAAAACGGAACCGGCATTAAAAAGGCACAAAAAGAGAAAGTTTACGTTGTTTATGCAGCTGGGTAATATTAGGATAAAAACCTGAGCTAACAGTAAGATTGAGATAAATTATTTTCTCGCACTTTATTTGACGTGGATATACATATATTGATCTAATAACTGCTAAACAACTCCAGGAAAGCAGGACAAGTTACTCTGTGCCACTCGCTCTTGAATCTAGTGCTGGATAAGTAAGTAATGGGTTTTGCAGCCTTAAGCAATTCTGCTGATGGCTTCCATTCACAGCAGCATTGTTTTGAGAATCTATTCAGCTTGCATGCAAGCAAACCACAGAGGATATTTCTAATAGATGTTACATCTGCATATACAGTAAGCTGTCAGCTGCCCTTTCTGCAGAGCCTCCCCAGCCAATTCAAACACCTGTTGTAATCCTGTGAATAATATTAGACAAGATTTCATACTATGCCTTGTTAAAAATACATCAACAGAAACTTCGGGTAATTCTGTTTGGGAAATACTGGTCAATTTTTCTCTCTTTTTTTCCAGAATGGAAGCTTTTTAGAGTCAGACTTATAGACGTGTTCAGTGTCTGGAAAGCACTTTTGGGTGCTATTGCAATATAAATTATAAAATACACACAAAAACCTGTTCAAAGAATGGTACAGTTTCGAAATTGAGCACTTAAAACTTTTGAAAAGCCAACCCGAAGGCCGCAGGTACGTTCGGCCACCCTGGGTGTGCGGGGCTTGGGGAGGCAGGCTGGAACACACACCAACATGCCGTTGCTTTTTCCCAGCGAGACCCCCTACTTCATTCAGCTCTCGGGATGAATATTGCTCGGTGAATGAATATTTTGCTTTGTCCTCCTTGTTCCATGTGTGACCTCTGTGGTTTATTTACTGCAAACTAATCCCACCCTCCTCTGCAGATAGGATTAATCGCTTCCTCACGGGCTCTGCTCTGGTTTCCACCACCAAAGGATCCAAGTGCTTCAGAAACGTTAATGACCACGCTGGCACAAACCCCCATTTTGAGCTATTTGCGTTCCCCAAGCCCCCAGCATACTTCGATTCGGGTGCTCTGCACGGCGCTGTCAACCACGACCTCACCGCGCGGTGCGGGCTGCGTTTGGCCACTTCGCACCTGCTCGCCTGCACCCGAGACCCCATACGGCGGCTGCGGTGCTGCTCCTGTGCAAACACCTCTGGTTTTGCCTCTCTGACTCCTACCCCTCTCTGCTTGTCACCTTGTCCCCTTCCCGATTCATTCTGGCCACTGGAAGCACCGTTTTGTCTTCTCTTTAGCTTCAGGCAGGCAAAAGCAACCTCGTACCTCCCACGACCTAACAAATACACGCAAACTTCCAAAACGTGTCTTACCCCCACGATTTTCCTCCTTGTTTCGTTGCTTCTTCTCCCAACGTCCTCGCAGCAGTCCTGTCCTGTCCCGCTCCTTCTCCTCCCTCCCTCCCCACCACGAACCCCCTTCTCCGTGCTCTCACGCCGACGTCGTCCGTCTCCCCGTCGTGGCGGGGGCAACCTGGAGGAACATCTCCCCTCCCGATGCTCCCCGTCAAAGCGGCACTGAACTTTACGTTACAATCAAGAGAAGAAAAACCTGGTTGGTTAATGTTCACCCAGCCAGCGCAGTGATAGACTGCAGCGTGCTTGGGACAGGCACGGACATCAAAGCCGACAAATTCAAACCAGATTCTGCTGAGTTTGTGTGAACTTGGGGTTTTTTTCAAGATGCTTATAGGCTGGCCAAAACTGGGGCTTTTTTTTTGTTTGTTTTCTTTTGCTACTTGAAGCAAAAGAAGATACAACACAACCCTGAGAAAAAGGCAAACCCTCCCTCATCAAGTGCCAAGCCCCTTCTCTTAAATATGGGCACAGCAGGCTCCTCACCAAAACAGCAGAACAACTCGTAACATGTGGGGAAAACTGGATTTTTTTTCCTAATCTTGCTCTTAGAAATGGTTGAACAATTTTTCCTGAAATAAGAAAAGAGAGTGCAGCCAGAGACAGACGCCCAGTATGGAAAATGGCTAAACCCTAGCGATCTTGCACAACTTGGCGCCACTGGAAAGTTCATGCAACCTTCCCTGTGTGTGAAACTATCCCGCTTTGGCTAAGAAATATGTATGCCATAATACAGTTGCTTTTCATCAGCCAGTGCTAAAACTCTTTGTTTCTTACCTCCAAATCTACTGCGCACCTAGAAAAACCACGATGACCAGTGACAGTCACACTACTGGCCTTGATAGAGATCATGCAAATCCACTGTTGTCTAAAATGCTCAGTCATATAACTCCTCCTAATTTCCATACCGCTGCTTTTCTAGCATAGAGCTACCTCCCCGGTAACAAAATATTTCAACATACTTTCCTTCTCCTTAATATAGCAGGCAAATACTGTACTGTTCACAGTGGAGCCAGCAGGTCAGGAGTGTAATGCTGCCGTGCGCTTTCCAATTAAAAATAATAAAAAAAAAGCCTTACACAATATATCCAGTTTAAATTATTCTCATTGTTTCCTGACAAGATAATGAATAGCATGAACTGAGTGCTCTTCTACTTACAGTAAAATGTTAATTTGATCAAAGACCAGTGGTGTGAATAGCAAAATGAGATACTTACAAGCAAAAAAGTATAACCTTTCCCTTAAAGTTCCACCAGCCAAACTATATTTCCTTATTATATGCTAAATTCAGTGCTATACATGGCAAAATCTTCCTATGGGCTAAGAGCGTATATTATCACAAGTAATTCTGCTGAAGTTAATGAGCCCGGTTATGGCAGTAATCACCATGCTTGGTTTTAAGCGGTTGAAGCCGATGTTCTTACCTGCAAGCTGCTGCAAAAGCTATGTTTCTCGGAGTACGAGATCAATTAAAGCACACTGGTTCAATGTGCTTTCATTTTCTAACTTTTGAGATATAAAAATTTATTTAAAAACTTTTAAACGACCCCAGCTTTCACAGAAAAACAGAAGATCTGTGACATGAAAGACTCTTCAGGGCTCTGACACCTATATTTTTCCAGCAATGAAGAAATACATGAAAAAAAGAAAAAAACTCCAACAAATAGAAGAGGTTGGGTTGTCTTCATTCTTGTCTTCAGGCTATTGCACTTTCCTTTGCACACTGAAAGGCTGCCAGATAAATGTATTCCCACCTGAAAGCCAAGCATTTACAGGAAACTCCTGTGCTTGCATGAAAATAATATTAACCATATTTTGCCTTTATACAGCACTTCTCCGTGCAAGGATCTCAATGCACTTTATAAAGTAAATGTTATTATTCCCATTGATAGTGAAATCATAGGATTAAGTGAACGACCTCATCTGCTATAAACCGGCGTAACGGCGCTGAATTCAGCGGGGCTATGGCACACTGTGATAGCAGAGGATCCCGTTCATTGCAACGGGAGTCTGAAGTAAAAAGCAAATTCTCTGGCAGTGTCTGTGTCAGGCTTGGTGCAGGGGAAGGACTTACGTCAAGATGAATACCCTTCCTCCTGGAAACATAAAAACAAGGACCG